CTGTTTACCGAGCATTCAGTCAGATCAGGTATTTCAAAGGAACCGGATCCAATTTCGGTTGCAATATATTGGGGATATGGTTGAGAGTCTTTAACTAGCGTCGTTGAAATGAGATATCCTACTATGTCCACAATGTCCGGTGCTGTCCAGAGGGCAGTTATTGATTTGGGTGATGTACCAGTTAACTCTAAACTTTTCACATCTGGTGGGGCTGAAATCGATGTTAATAAATTCACATAAACAAATTAAGTAAGTGTCTGTTAACTAATACAAAATTGGAGCATTTTCAGAATATTTGCATTTCGATAAAACGCAAAGAGTCATGTCTTTTATTTGATGCAATTCCCATTTTTTATTCAGGGAGCTTAACTTGAAAATAGTCAAGATACTGTAAATTTGGTTTAGGAAAAGCAGATATAGAATGATTCAATATATTGCTGCTTTATATTTGTGGTTAAGCTGGAATAGTCGTACTACTAGTATTATTTAGCTTCGATTTTTAAAGCCAATCTAAGCTTTCATGCTCATCTTAGGTGTCCACAGATATATTTATTCGAAATTTCACTATCTGTATACTTCCTATAATTTAACGACATTTTAAATACCCAGAACAAATAATACCGACAATTTAAATGAACTTTGTCGAGATTTAAAGTTATAGCATTAGCCATCACACTTGGAAACGCCTGTGATGCTATTGGCAAACTAATTGAAACCAGGTAAATGAATGCAATTCTGACTCCATTAAATAAAATTATAAAAAGGTTCTTTCATAATATTCATGGCAACCACATCAATTTCATGATTTAGTAAAAGTTATACGGCGTAAGATTTGAGTAAAATGCAGGAAACATAATAAATGAAAATTTTACATATAAAATATTATTAAGTGCATCTAGCAAAATTGGTGATAACTTACGTTTTCCCTGCTTGTAAGGTGGAATATTTACACTAACAATATCGCTTGGGTCACTTTTGAGTATCGCCGTGAGGGCAACTGCTTTAAGTTGAATATTAGTACTACTCGGGAAATCATAGATAGTATCATCTGCAAATGTTAAAAAAATAAATCAAAATATTTTCTCATTATTGAATCGCTTAATTTGATAGAAATACTATATTCACAATAATCTATATTGTAAAATCCATCTGGATAAATTACTTTTTGTTTATAAGTAGGGTTTCGAGACTACCAGTAAGAAACAGTTTTCTGTGCATCATTGCTCAAATAGAGGCCAAAAATTGAGGAAGCACACTAAGGAGATGAGCAAAATGTAGCATATTATTATGTCAAATTCAGTTTTCTGATAACATGATTAAGTATCTAAAACTGATTCAGACCACTTCATAATAACAGAAGAAGTCTGCAACCAAAGCAGGGGCCACAACATCATGCTTTTCCTTTTTCCTAAGAAATTTCGATGGCAATCTCTTACTTTAATTACAAACTAGCATGAACTTTATTTGCGGATGGTCAACTAAAAATGTCTTAAACATTATTTTAATTAGATCATCTTATTATACTAGTATACTGCCAAAACCTTGTTTTATTTAAGAACATTCTGCATATGTGTATTAAAATGACAGGTTATTCTATGTGAATTACCATATAACCTTTAGTATTCCATAATTTGCATGAATCTGCTTTGAACAAAACGTTGTAACTTACCCGGTTTGGCCGTGGTCATGATTCTCTCCTTTGTAGCTATCGTAGCAATAATTGTAAACTTTAAATTGCATGTGGGAGGATTATCGGAAGTGATTTTAGTCAAAACTGCTCCAGGAGTTCCATCAACATTTGTTGCAGTCAGTGCAACCTTTTTAATTTCTGTAGAAAAATATTGATAATTAAAAGTATGCAATTTTTCAAGGACAGGAAGCTTAGTATAAATACTGACCAATCCCCCCGTACTACATTAGCACATTTAGGTATAACTGGGAAG